AACTTCAAGTTCCGAATGGGCCGCGAAGACCTTTCCCATATCCAGTTTAACCCGAAGCTTTGGAATCTGAGACCAGTAGTGAAAGATTCAGGAGCGGCAATGAGAGTCCCACTTTTGCCAGAGCCCTACGCACATGTGAAAGAGAACCAGCAAGCGTGGCTTTCCGGGTCCAGGCCGCTGCCGGACCAATGCCCCCGATACCCACCGATAAGGAGGATGTTGTTGGGAGTCACATCTCCCGTCATTGCCCCTCGCATCGGAGCAACTCGTGATGCAGAGAGAAGAATGCTGAAGTGGAGTGAAGGGATGGAACCGCGCTTCATCAGTTGGAACGTTGCAGCCGCGCACACACTTGACTTCACATTTCCTGATGCTTGGAGCAGGAAAAAGATCAAAGGACCACCTTCCAGGAGTTCAGAGGTCTCGGCTGAGGTGTGGAACAAGGTGTATGCCCCCACAGATGACTTATCAAGACTGAGGTGGTCAGGAGAGGTGAAAGTAGTGATGCTGGAAGTGGCAAAAGAGTGCATAGGAGGCTCATACATAACGATAGAGGACCTGGCGCCACATGGCGAGGAGTCGGTAGAATTCCTGGTGAATGATGAGTTGTTCTATCACGCAGGGGACCTGACCGTACCGGCGCGGCCGGACTCGGGCATAGACACACGACAAGGCCCCTCAGGACCTAAGCCAAAACCTGATGCGAATGACGATGAACTGATGGATCAGGACGATGACGACATCGGGGGAAAGACAGAAAAGCCGAGTGAGACGAATCTAGGAGCGTTGGAGAGAGACTTGCTGGAATACCGGTTTAGTGAAGACGACGATGGGGAAGTCAATGGGAGTCTATTGCTGATGACGCCATCGTCTTTCATGTCCCCTACAAAGGAGGCGTCGGCCGACTTATCCCCGTTGGACCCAATAAGTCAGGCGAGAGAGTGCCGAAATAAGGACTCACAATGATTGCTCCATGAGTCACCGAGGAGGAGAAAGATTGAAGAGTCAATGAGGGTATTCTTCCTGAGTACGCTACCGGAAGAGGAATGGGAGAGATACCAAAGTGAACTAGAAAGCAAGACAGGGGCAACCTGGAACCGAGTGAAATTCATGGAAAGGTCATGGGACGTGATACGAAGATACGGGACGCAGTCCATAATGAAGGTGGGATTGAACCAACCCATTATGCGTGAGGTCCTAGAGAAAATAATGAACTCCATAGAGTCTGATGTTCTGACCGAGTCAGTTACAGAGGACAGTGCCGATGACCAGCAGGTCACGAAAAAATTACCCGTCAGGCGAGCCAAAAAAGGGCTGAAGCGACTGAAAGGGAAGACAGGAAGTCGAGCCGTGAACCAGAGAGTGGTGAAGTCAAAAGCCAGCACAGTGATGGCCTCTTTGACGAGCGCAGGTCGTTCAGGCGAGAACGGGCAAGGAGATGGTGCGACGCTGACCGGGGGAGAAAAATAGAACCTGGTACCCCCTATGCTCTTGGCAGGTCTGACCACAACAGCCACGAAATCAAAAAAGATTGCACGAACAGAAACAGACGAGCAGGAGGACTATGGGCAAAGGTCAAGCGCCGGCTGACAAAGAGCAGGCTGCCGTTAAGAATCCAGGCTAGAGTTGTACAATGCTGCGTAGTAAGCGGCTTTTTGTTTGACGCCAACGTAAGGACATGGAAAAACTCGGAGTTACAGTCTTTGCAAAATTGGATTGACCGGTGCTATAGGCACGTCTGGAGCTCAAAGTCGAAGCCGCCATTAATTGAAACGCAAGAAAAAGGAGTGAATATGCAGGACATCAGAAACCAACTGAAAATCAAGACGATCCGATGGAAAGTTGAAGGAAGAACTCTAAAACGAATAGGACATGTAATGAGAATGGACGACAAAAAATTGACTAAAGCAGCTTGTCTAGGGTGGCTAAACGATCTGCAAACCCTACCGAAATGACCGGGAAAAAAAGACAAAACACTACTCTACTGGCGGAAGCTCATCAGAGAAGCGGGAATGGATGTGAACGAGATAGACAAACTGACTCAGGACAGAAAAGGATGGAGGCGAGCGGTGAAAGCACGAATGGAGCACCTGCATAAATGGGAAAGGTCAAATGCGAAAAGACAAAACGGTAAAACGACAGAAAGGAACTCCTATACCCCCAAGCAACATCAAACACGTGTGAGATATATGTGAGGGATTTCAAAAACCAGGGCGGCCTGAGAATCCATATCAAAAGGATGCACAAAGAGGCGAGGGTGACTTTTGCATGCAACAAATGTGGAGCTATCTTCAAATCTGAAAACTCGGAAAATAGCCACAAGAAGACATGCGAGGGAGACAGGAACAATGAAGATGAAACCAAGACATGTGGCTGATGCGACAGAACCCTACAGGCCCAAAACATGGCACGCCACAAAAGACAGGACTGCAAGGGAAACCGGGTACCAGAACAAGAAGCAAATGACCAACACCATCAACCCCGCGTATACAAACAGAAATGGACTATATGTCCGAGATGTAACGAGAGGAAATCCGCGTCAAACTTAGCAAGGCACCTAAGGATATGCACCACGTCCATGGTCAGGGGAGAGGACATACCCTTTGAACCAGGAGGGTGAAAGTCTACATACATACATACAGAAAATCAACCAGATGCACAGATGTTGGTACGAGCTCGACGGTTTCTTAATGAGAACATCCGACCGCCACCAAATGGTCCGTAGGGTAGCCACGGCGCAGGACATGGCATTATCGGACCACAAACCCGTCTGGATTGACATTTGGCGCGAACAAAAAAGCGGCGACCCAGTATAGAAAAGATAAGAACACAGCAGATAGACTGGGAACGCATGAGAAACAAAGAAATGGCGGAAGCATATCGCAAGAAGACGGAGGAAAAACTCAACAACGAGGAAGGCTGGGACTCCATATCGCGGAAGCTCACAGAGGCAGCGGAGGAAGTATGTGGCATAAAGAAACGACAGATAGCCAACCCGTGGACAGTGGGATACGAAGAAGAACTGAAAAGCCTACACACGGAAATCTCAAAAGAAGTAATTCGCAGAAACGAGTTGATCAGCCAAACATTTGGAGAATCACATGGCATTCTTGCCAATGCCCTAACGGCATCAAGAGGAAGACTGGTAGCCGCACGCAAGAAGATGAAGAAACGCCTACGACAACTAGAAAGACTATGGTGGGACGAAATCATCATCGAGTGCGAAAACGCAGCGGAGAAAGGGGACATGGGTACCATGTACAAAACTTTAAGGAAACTGGGAACAAGATCACAAAAACACCAGACAGGCACCACTATCTCTACTGAAGAATTCAAGGCCCACTTCAGCAACGTATCGCAGGACCGATATGAGAACGACCCGGGTACTTTGATGAACACAGTCAAACAGATGCCAGATAAAAGCAAAGACGTCAAGTTCATAACAGCCAACCAGAAAATGAACACCCTTCCGTCCGAGAAAGAAATCATGGAAGCACTGGATGAGGTGAGAGAATCGGCGCCAGGCAAGGACGGGGTGCGCATGGTATACACTCGCAACGCATACTGGAAATGGAGGGAGAAAGTCATCCACCTGGTGATGAGAATGTTCACGACCAGAGCAGACCTGTGGGAAGAGTCTCTAAAGAAAGGCCAAATAGTACCATTGCACAAAAAAGGGAACATCAATGACGCCAACAATTTCCGAGGTGTGTGCCTGCTCTCAATGGCTAGTAGAATTCTAGCAAGAGTGATCTCAAACCGCCTGAGAACATGGAGTGAAGAACTTCAGGTATTGGACGAAAACCAAAGCGGGTTTCGACCAGGCAGGTCCACGGCAGATGCAAGCCAGAGCTTCATAAGGATAAGAGAGGACGTGGAAGATCTCAGGAGACGGAGGATAAGAGCCGTAATCTCAGTAGAAGCCAACACAGACTCAGAAGCCAGACTTTTAGACCTAACAAAAGCTTATCCGCGGGTCAGCAAACCGGTCCTGTGGGCGGTGTTAAGGCGCTACGCGATAGAAGGCCCGTTTCTGGACACACTGATGGATTTGCATGAAGCCACAACACATAGTATAAAGGGCAAAGAGGGCGACAGCGAAGAATGGACCCCCGAAAGAGGGTTAAGAGAAGGTTGCCCATCTTTGCCTTCAATGTTTAACATATACCACCAAGTGGTAATGCGGCAAGCTGAGAAAGCCAGACTAGACAGAGCCGAGAAGAAAGGTACAAACGTCGGGATAGCGTAAACGTGGATGCCAGGAAACCGCGTCCCAGGAAAAAACATGGTAGAAACGCACAACAGTGAAACCCAAACCACACGAATATCATTGTCCCTGTTCGCAGACGACACCACCCCCATCGGCGAGAAGGAAGAAATAGAGTCTGGAACAGCAACAAAAAAAAGTTATGAAGAACTTCGAGGAGAAAAACAACGAAGAGAAAGAAGAGAAACTAGAATTCGGAAAGGACGGAGCAGGTGGCATCAGAATGCTAGGAGTGTGGATCGGGGCGAAAGGAGACATTAAGAACAGAAAAAGACGAGCAGGAGGACTATGGGCAAAGGTCAAGCGCCGGCTGACAAAGAGCAGGCTGCCGAAAAGAATCCAGGCTAGAGTTGTACAATGCTGCGTAGAAAGCGGCTTATTGTTTGACGCCAACGTAAGGACATGGAAAAACTCGAGTTACAGTCTTTGCAAAGTTGGATTGACCGGTGCTATAGGCACGTCTGGAGCTCAAAGTCGAAGCCGCCATTAATTGAAATGCAAGAAAAAGGAGTGAATATGCAGGACATCAGAAACCAACTGAACATCAAGACGATCCGATGGAAAGTTGAAGGAAGAACTCTAAAACGAATAGGACATGTAATGAGAATGGACGACAAAAGATTGACTAAAGCGGCTTGTCTAGGGTGGCTAAACGATCTGCAAACCCTACCGAAATGTCCGGGAAAAAGACAAAACACATCTCTACTGGCGGAAGCTCATCAGAGAAGCGGGAATGGATGTGAACGAGATAGACAAACTGACTCAGGACAAAAAAGGATGGAGGCGAGCGGTGAAAGCACGAATGGAGCACCTGCATAAATGGGAAAGGTCAAATGCGAAAAGACAAAACGGTGAAACGACAGAAAGGAAATCCTATACCCCCCAAGCAACATCGAACACCTGTGAGATATGTGAGAGGGATTTCAAAAACCAGGGTGGCCTGAGAATCCATATCAAAAGGATGCACAAAGAGGCGAGGGTGACTTTTGCATGCAACAAATGTGGAGCTATCTTCAAATCTGAAAACTCGGAAAATAACCACAAGAAGACATGCGAGGGAGACAGGAACAATGAAGATGGAACCAAGACATGTGGCAGATGCGACAGAACCCTCCAGGCCCAAAACTTGGCACGCCACAAAAGACAGGACTGCAAGGGAAACCGGGTACCAGAACAAGAAGCAAATGACCAACACCATCAACCCCGCGTATACAAACAGAAATGGACTATATGTCCGAGATGTAACGAGAGGAAATCCGCGTCAAACTTAGCAAGGCACCTAAGGATATGCACCACGTCCATGGTCAGGGGAGAGGACATACCCTTTGAACCAGGAGGGTGAAAGTCTACATACATATATACAGAAAAGCCGGGTGAGACGGATCTAGGAGCGTTGGAGAGAGACTTACTGGAATACCGGTTTAGTGAAGACTACGATGGGAAAGTCGTCGATGGGAGTCTATTGATGATGATAGCATCGTATTTCATGTCCCATACAAAGGAGGCGTCCGCCGACTTATCCCCGGTGGACCCAATAAGTCAGGCGAGAGAGTGCCGAAATAGGGATTCACAAAGATTGCTCCATGAGTCACCGAGGAGGAGAAAGATTGAAGAGTCAATGAGGGTATCCTTCCTGAGAACGCTACCGGAAGAGGAATGGGAGAGATGCCAAAATGAACTAGAAAGCAAGACAGGGGCAACCTGGAACCGAGTGAAACTCATGGAAAGGTCATGGGACGTGATACGAAGATACGGGACGCAGTCCATAATGAAGGTGGGATTGAACCAACCCATTATGCGTGAGGTCCTGGAGAAAATAATGAACTCCATAGAGTCTGATGTTCTGACCGAGTCAGTTACAGAGGACAGTGCCGATGACCAGCAGGTCACGAAGAAATTACCCGTCAGACGAGCCAAAAAAGGGCTGAAGCGACTGAAAGGGAAGACAGGAAGTCGAGCCGTGAACCAGAGAGTGGTGAAGTCAAAAGCCAGCACAGTGGTGGCCTCTTTGACGAGTGCAGGTCGTTCAGGCGAGAACGGGCAAGGAAATGGTGCGACGCTGACCGGGGGAGAAACAAAAAGCCTGGTACCCCCTATGCTCTTGGCCACGAAATCAAAAAAGATTGCACGAACTCTAGCAGACACTAAGCTAGAGATGGAGATCATCAGTCAGTGTGGATCTGGAGGACTTGATGATTACAGGCCCTCGCGAACCAACATGGCCAAGATGAAACTGGAGGGGCAACTCGATGTGGTCGAGTACAGTCGAGTCACTGTGCCGGAATCGGTCCACATGGGAGATCCAGCAGGGGGTTATGTGGAGATATTGAAGGCAAGGAACTCCGCGAGAGGGCACCTGATGGCTTGGAGCGAGAAGCGAGCCATGCAGGAATATCTGAAAGGTCTTACGTAGAATTCTAACCTAAATCGGAAAGAATACGGCACGATAATGTCCTCGGAGGCGAACGAAATCGGGCTGGAAAAACTACTGGAAATCTCTTGGAGGGCGGCCCTCGAAAGATACTTCGACGAGACGATGCATGCGCCTGCGACGGTGGCAGCGTACCTGGCTCATCCGTGCACGAGAACTGACCTGCAAGTACGGTTGGCTTGGTGCTTGATGGGCATCAAGAAGGCGGAATATAAAGCCAGTAACGATTTGAAATCAAAGGACAGGAGCTGGAGTTCATGGAAGCCCTGCGAGCGTTGATTTCAAAAGACGATTCTGCGATAGCCTGGGCTAAGCGTAAGGATGCCCTTTGCTTTGTAAGATTCGTGGTGGATCGTATCCCCACTCCTGTTTTGGGAGAATGCATAAAGATCATTCGGCAAAAGGGAGTTGATTGCGAAAGAAACTTCCTTAGGGCACTCCTGGAACTATATCGGGATATGCCGTTGGTTGTACCAAATAGGGAGTCGAATGACATGAAGAGCTATCGCAAGTTGGAAGAAGTGAGAAGGTATTCCAACAAAGGATTGAAAGTGAGCCGGGAGTTGATTTAAACAGTCAGGGGACTAAAAGACTTTGCAACACTAGGGAAACTGAAGTCGTTCCAATATGTGTCTGGCATACCGGGGATGGCGTAAAATCCCCTCGTGAATGAGGAAGCCAGGGAAGCGTACTTCGACTATGAGCAAGTCATAGTGCTCAATTTCTGGGTCGAACGGATTAAGGAAACTGGAATGCTGATGGTGGAACAACCCAAGCTGGGAATTATTTTAGAAGAACGAGTGGTCGAACCCTCGGTTCCCGAGCTGAAGGGGCAGGTGAGTTTTGATTGTGGTTCTTGGGACGGTCCCTTGAAAACCAGCCTAGTAACCATGTGGGAGCTCATGAAGCCTTCTTGGTGTCCCCATCCTAACGCCGGTTTAATCTGGGACATGACGGCGGATATCAGGTTAGACCTGGATGATGACGCGAGTCTACATGATCTGGCCATGATACACCATCTGCTGGCCGTGAGGTTGAAGAAGCGAAAGAGCAACCCATCCACGGAGCCATCCGAGGATAGTCCATCGAGCAATTGGTTGAGGCAAGGCACCTGTCTAGCTCAACATAGTGGGATGGAAGGACATGTTTGCAACTTGGGACACTGTCTGATTACGCTGAGCGAGCAGCATCGACAACTGGCACGATTGTACGGAAGATTGAGCATGTCGGATAAGAGTGGCATGGATTTGGTCGCGGACTGTCATGGGGTGACGGATGTAAACTTGACCACTGCCTTGGGATTTTGTAGCATGACGAGCTCGATAGAATCGCTTGAGCGCCTGGAGCGTGCCCATGAATTAGTGACGTCCCTCAGCGTGGAAGTATTCCCTGGAGCATTGCAGATAGAGCAGAAGATTGGAGGCTGGCGAGAGGCTCTGGAAAACGAAATGAATCTGAAGGACAGTGAGGCCTATCATAGACCTACTGGTTCAAAATATCTGGTGGGTTCATGCTCCGCACCATATTGCAATAGTAGCTATCCTACGCACATGGTGGTGATGGATGCGAGGACGCAGCAGGTGTCGATTGACCAACTTTTCTCTGTGCCAAAGTGCGTGAGGTTGGCCAGGATGTCGGAGAGGTCATATGATTTGTTGGCGAAGATCTTTCGGGCAGTCCCGAAGAAATCTGAAGGCGAGTTGCAAGACGTAGTGGGTGAAGAGTTCATGAGGTTGAACGAAGGTAATGTGAGCGAGTTCCAGAAGCAGAAAGCGAGTGGAGCGTTACCCACTGAATTCCCCACCATACAAGAGAAAGACGATATGCACAGAATTGGATATGGAGGTGGAATCGTTGCTGGGAGCCTCAGGGTATCGGACCCGAAGGAACATATTGAGGACCCATGGGTAGTATCCTTGTCACTGCTTGGCGCAGACGTTATGGTACCCCAAACGCGGGAATTTGATGCTAGTATGGGACGTGGAGGAGTTGTACTCTACGGGATTGCCCAATCAGAATCAACAGGTGTCAATCGTGGTGGTTAGTGCCGTGCTGGCAGTGAGGTGGTTGGAGGCTAACGCGGACACAAGTGAACAGGAGACGGCCGTGCCGACTCCTGAGCAGCTGAGCAACGTAAAGATGAGCCGCAAATTGGATCTTTTCAGAACCACCTGCAAGGTTCTGAGGATACTCAAAGCCATTGAAAGAATATGGTCAAGGCAAAGGTTGATGCCTTGGTTCTGTGCAGTGATGACGTCATGGATACATGAACGCGCGAAGCGTCACATGTCGAGGAACACGGAAGCCTATCAACCTTTCCAGCTAGATATAGGACCAGGAGCCTATAAGATAGCATTCCTTACGCACAGAAACGCGGTCACCACGGCGGTGAAGCGAGTAGTTGGAGCGCCTTGTGTAACTGAAGATGAGAAGAAAGAGGTCTTAAGAGCTGACCTAGAACGAAATGTGAGCCTGTGTCTTCACAACAGCTTTTGCAGGAACCGGGAGCAAAAGGTGAATGTGGACTTGCTACCTTGTTGCAAACCGAGGCTGTTGGAACAGGAGAGTTGGGGCACAGCCCGCAACTCCATGGACATGTTGGAAAAAGTCCTAGAAGACAGTGAAGCTGAAGATCAGGATGGAGAAGCAATGGAATGAAGATGATGGAACGAAGAGGATAGAGGAAAGGAAGAGAAGGAGAAAAATTGTTTTTGTCTTTGTGTGTTAAAACTTGAACTAATCAACCAAGTTTGATTATTGAACTTGGTAAACTTTTTGTTTTGATCTAGTTTGGTCCGACCAAACTATGAAAATTGTTGCAATTGTTAAAAATGTTAAAATTGTTGATTTTAGTTATGACTATTTATATATATATGGCGAACATAGTTGAGTATATTTACCTATTTAAACACGACTGAATTTTTTAACCTGTGTAAGACACAATTTCACTGTGTGGCGACATGGTAAGTTTGGGTAAACTCGCTCGAAAAGAGTGAGTAACTCAATAGATTCCTAGCCACAGAGTTTCTTAGTTTTAATATCAACTGATTATACTTGGTGAGTGACGTTAAGTTAATTTTAAAGGGTGCGTGGTCGTGCCACGTCCCAACTTTTTAATCATAAAGAGCAAAAAGAAGTTTTATGGCAAGCTGACGTAAGTAGTCAGAAAAGAAATTTTATCTAGGACACTCCTCATGGTGCAAATTTTGTGAAAATGTTGAAAGGCAGTGAGATGTAGTACGATGCAATTGGTGACACGTAGTGAGTTGAGGTGGAGTAGATAAATTTCATTTTCTAATGCGATTTGTAAGATTAGTTATAGAGAACTGGAGTGCTACTTGACGATAACCCGGTGTTATGCGATCAATGGGGACATTGATGTGGACTTGTCCGGGGAGTATGTGCCATTCTGCCAGATTGGCACAGCGAAACCTTCCGGCGAGACAGAAAAAGACGACTAAAGGCCTTAGTAACAAAAAAGTGCTGCGAAGGAGGGTCAAAATATTCCGGAAGTTTAAATTTTTAAAGTTTCGATTGACGGGCAAGTATTTCTCAGACATACAAAAAGACGGCCATTTTGACGAAAAAGAACGAAAAAACAGAACAACGACAGATATAGTGGAAAACAGTCGCACGAGAAAACGAGAAAAACGAAGCCTCTTATCGTGGCAATCACACACGATAAGACTGATATATGAGAGAAACAGTGAGAAAGGAGGCTTCAGTGGGGAAGGAATATTCCGCGGAACCCTCCCGTGCCACGAATTGGGAGAGATAACAACGTTATCTCGAGAAGAACACGGGAGCGGAGGCTTGGCCCCCAGAGACTGTCATATGTTGAAGGACTGTTGTAAACTTATTTTTTAGCTACTCTGATGCCATAGAACTTTGAATTAACACCGGTATTATTTGATATTTTAGAATATGAGTAGCTAGAAAGAGGAAAGGGTCAATCCGTCTCCAATGGATTTAATATAGAACTGTCACACAAAAACATATTAAAATAGGGTATTTTTAATAGCAATCACGTAGTCTGAGGATCCGAGACTCAGCTATGTGATTGTGTTTGCATGTAAACGAAAGCTGATTAAAATTCGTTTGACTGATGGCCTGAAAATAGTAAATTTTAACATAGCCCGCAACAGACCAGGAAATCAACTGGCTAGGTCGAGACGGTGAAAAACGAGTAGAATTAAGGTAACTGACGCCTGCCAGTCGTTAATAGGTACTTTTTCTACGCTCCGTCGCTGTGTAGTTTTTGGGCGAATGTTACAACTGTTCTAATCTTTTCTTACCTTACCCCACTTTCTTCAGCCTTCGGAAAAGTGTACGGCGGGACTTATTGACTCAAACATTTGGGTTTTTAACTTTTCTCAAAAACTACTTTCCCAGATCTGAGATGGGTTCAACGAAGAAAACAAGTTGTGAGAAACTTCCATGCAAATGCGGCTACGCCCAATTTTTGTAAACAAAACATATGGAAAGTCTAATTTTCGATGTTTTGACCGTTACTTGAAACTTTTGATTTTTCTCGAATATTACCCTCCCAAATCTGAGATTTTAGTTTCAATCAAAAGGACGGGTTGTGAGAAGCTCACCTGCATAAGCCGTTACGCTACCCCCAAATGTTTTAACACGAAATTCTTTCTCGAAAACTTATCTCCCACATCTGAGCTTTCGGTTTCAATGGGTAGAACGGGTTTTGGAAGCGGTTACACCTAATTTTGGGAACGGTTAGGCCCTGCAGAAGCGGTTAAGCCCATATTCTTTCACACTAAAATTTATGGCCCTCGGAAAAGTCAAATTTCTGATCTGTTGACTTTTTTTAAAAGTTTTTGACGTGTCTCAAAAACTACCCACCCAAATGTAATGAGCAACGGTTTCAGCATCTTTCAACTTAACAAGCTCTGTAAGCACTTCAATAATTAAGAAAACTGAAGTAATTGATGAAATTGACAGATTTTGAAGTCGTTAAATTGGTATTTACTTCTCCTTGCTATAGGTATCTTTTTGAACTTAGCCTTATCCTTTCGCATCAGTACAGATCCAAAAATTTTCAAGCAGGTATTTCCAGCTTGAGCTGGCCTCTAGTATCAATATAATCTTCTGCTTCAGGGAATTTATAGATATTGATCTGTATTGTTGGGTGATGTTAGAATTATTGCTGAGCACTTGCTACAGAAAATTGAATTACGAATAAAACCGAGCGTCACCATGTTGAGCTTCGAAGAGAGGACTAACTGCTCGCAGAAACTGTCAATGATGATGTGCTCAATTAAAATTCTTTTTTTTTCTGTTACTAGTAAAGTTTATCCTCCCATCGCGAGTGGGAACAGTTCTAGCATTGCTCAGAACTTGTTGTTTTTTCTGATTACCCAAATTTAACCATTCTTAACCCCTATATGGCTCTGGTTGTGAGTTGTTTGCAATGAACTGTTTGTAATGCAAAGAACTTGATGGTAATTGCATCTTAAATCGTTCATTGTTTGTTTTGATCCGTCCTGGTCAATTTTGAATTCATTGATCTTATACAGTTGTTGGCTCATTTATATTCATATAATTTACGTTCGTAATTCTTCCAGAAATGGTTGGATCTTTTTGGTTCTGCAGTGTCCTATTATTGTTCGTGACCACGTTTTCCAACTCTTCGGGCATATCGTTCCATGCATCGCCCGATTCACAGTACATAGAAGTTGACAAAAATGGATCATTTGAAGTCTGGTTCAAAGATAACAACATAACCGACCCTATCGAGATAAACATAATCGTATCTACCAACAATCAGGATGTAATCCAGGATTACAACAGGACGACCTACGTCATAGAGAAGGAGAAAACTTCAATGTACTTCTACTCGGATCAGCCGGGCAACGCGGATATTTCCTTTAATTTTACCGATGTCAATAACTATGAGTTGAATTCTGGTATAATGGATGTGTATATACATATACACGTTATAAGGAGCCATCCACTCGATGTGTTTAATGATGTGATAGGATGGATTTACTTTTTCGCTTGGAGCATATCATTTTATCCCCAGATTTTCTCAAATGTCATGCGCCGAAGTGTGGTTGGGCTAAATTTCGACTTCCTTGCTTATAATCTTCTAGGGTTTTCCGTCTACAGCGTCTTCAACGTAGGTCTCTATTGGGTTCCTTACATACAAGATGAATATCGTGATGAAAATCCAGGACAACTCATACCGGTCAAACTGAATGACGTTGTTTTTAGCTTACACGCCACGCTTATAACTATGGTGACTATTTCCACATGCTTTTTCTTCAAAAGAGATAACCAAAAAGTTTCATGGGTTTGCCGCGTGTTTGTCATAGTTTCTTTATTGTTGATTGTGCTTCTCGCAATTTTTACGATGACTGGCGACTTCAAAAGATGTTCGTGGTTGAATTTCATAAATTGGATTTCCTACATAAAGCTAGCAGTCAGTTTTATCAAATACGTACCTCAAGCCTGGATGAACTATGAAAGAAAAAGCACCATTGGTTGGAGCATTGGAAACGTCCTGCTGGATTTCACAGGCGGTTCATTGAGTATTTTGCAGTCATTGCTGCTATCATATAACAGCAATGATTGGCCATCGTTGATAGCGGACCCCGTTAAATTTGGACTTGGATTCCTGAGTATCATTTTTGACATTCTCTTTATGATTCAGCATTACATACTTTACCGACATGCCAAAGATGAAAATTCAGATATTTGGCCAAAAAGTTATAGAGTTTTTGAGAATAGCACCGCAGAGTCAGAGCCATCATGGAACCCGGCTTCAGATCTTGGAGCCACTACTACTTGAATTATTTCTCGAACTCTCATCGTTTTATAAACTGATCAGCTGCCTTTTTATAAGTTCACAAAAATGGTCGTATCTAAAGAACGCTTTTTGTTCCGGCCATTGAAAATGGGGAGGAACTTTTTATTCGGGTGTGTTTAAGTTTTTTATTTTACACGCAAAATCAGGTGCAACAAATAATTATCGTCAGGGTAGAGTGATATATCATACCAAAGCCCTTCTAGTTGTGATTTGAGCGACATGAAAATTTTATCGTAAAATTTTTCAATGTCGAGAAAAACCAATTTTGGTTTATTGTCAATCGAGTAAAGCGATCGAGTAACGTTTGTTATAAAGAAAATTTGAATTTTAGGCTAAAAACTTGATTTTACTAAAAGGGCAAATTGTTTCGGAAGCTTCTTTTATCTCTTCTCTGGCAAAAAAAAACTTTGAAAAATATTTGAAATTTTAGTTTTTTTCTATTTGTTTACTTTTCGACGAGCATTGGATTCGCTTATGTCTATTGCACTAAGTTTCTACGCGTTTGTGTAGTTGTATCATCACGCGACGTACAAAAAAAACACCAATTTGAAGAATTTTTTTTTCTGTAAATGTGGTCGGAACATTCTGTGCTACTTGCACATCATCCGGCTATCCTTGTTTATCCTGTATATTTAGCTAGAAAAATTACATAATTTAGTCTCAATCAAATTTAAATTTAATGATTACCTTTTCCATCAGTTTGTGTTAGAATTTATAAAAAGCCGAATCGTCGATCATGCAAGTTAGTTACGCCGGAAACTCTTTTCGTTGTGATAGCCGTCTGAAACGTTTCGACTGAAAATGATATGGTCCAGTGAATCATAATGACACAATGCGAAAATTTAATAGGTTGTTTTTGATTAGTACATGATTTTCTAAGCTTTGATCATGACGGCATGGCCTGTAGAATCCAAAAATTAACTTTTTAATTGCCCTCCATGATTCAAAAAAAAGCTGGAGAATCCGTGGCCGAGTGGGGTAAGATAAACTTCTCTCATCACGAAGGTCGTGCGTTCGATTCCAACTTCGGTCATGGTTGGAGGGGTCCCAGTGTCATCCTGCATTGAGTAGGACCGGAGGCAAGTAAAAAACCGAAAAAAGTCTCTGCCAAACTGACAATGAAAGACTCCAAGAAAAACTCGAAATGTTATGATTATACGAACACTGAAATTCACTGAAATTGGGAAGGCATATCGAGTTTGAGTGGTTGTTGGAGCAAACACAGCACATTTTAAATGATACGATTATTTGTTCAAAAATAAACTGAAATAAGTATCGCGAAGTATTCAGTGGTTTCTCCAAATCAAATAAGAGTATTCGGTTTTTGAGCTCAAACCAAATAGGAGTATCCATTTTCTGTGCAAGAAGCACTGAACGGTTGCGACTGTAGTTATCATGGCAAAAAAGTCTAAATAAATGATTTTAGATTCTATTTAGAAAATTACTTTTTTTACTCAACTTGAGATGACAAATATACATATTGTATTAATGCTTGCGATCAGCAAGTGCTTTAAAATCGGAATATAGGCTTTTTTATGGGAAACAACAAGTTAAACAAATTATATCGAATTATTTGATAGCTTTATTGATAATTAATTCAAATTTCATAGCTTCGCCGGAACATTTGGCCTGGAAGTAACGAATACGCCTGGAATGTCTAAGGGACTAGGTTGAAATACAGACAGGAACTGTTTTTTTTTTAAAATATAAATATTCCTGGCCCCGAGAAAAGACGCAAAAAAAACAAAAAACCAAATAGTCGTGGGTTTGATTTAATTTGAATACGAGTTTCAATGCTGCGACACAATGTTATAAAATATACTCCTTAGTCCTTCCACTCTTTCACATACTTGCTTGGTATTGAAAAACCAATATATTAATTAACCACGAAGTGGCTACGTGCCTTGTGTTTTTTGTCACGGGAAATCAGGTATCACAAAGAAGTATTGTAAGAATTTGATTGAAATATGAAAGCTTTTTCAGTCGGGTTTCAAAAGATAAATTTTTTCGGTGTCGAGAAATAACGGTTTGAAAATACAGCCATGAAATTGCAATCAGCACAAAGACTTAGCGAACGGATAAACGCTTTTTTGCTGAGCAATTTTTCCGATTTAAGCTTAGGTTAACAAATTTATTTTCTCAGACCATCTATTAAATTTTAACTTTTGTTACTGTCACGATCCTGGAAGAAAGCGCATCACTGAAAGTGGGGACGAACTAAGTCTTCGGGTAAGTTTTATTTAATTTTTTTAATTTGTGCTCAAGAGAAATCAGATAAAATGTCTAATATTGAGCGAGTAGGTGTTTTAAAGTGACAAAGTAACAAAAGCTTTCATTTAAATTGTGCAAAACTTAGTTTTAATAAAAACAATTTGAGCTTTTACAGCTTTGTTTAGTGCTTCTTGGCAATAATGTTTTTTTTCTAAATTCATTAATGATCTGCAAAAATTAGAAGAAAATTTAGAAAGCTTAAAATTAATTACTTTGATTGTCTTTTTTGAAAACCATTGTTTTCGATTGCGAATTCACTTACTTTCTTAGCTTCCAGTTTGTTCCTCTCATGCACTTAAAACTACTAATAATTTGAAAACAAAAAAGAAAATGTTCGGAATTTTCTGCGATACTTACACAGCTAATAATTTGAAAACAAAAAAGAAAATGTTCGGAATTTTCTGCGATACTTACACTGATCCATTATGTTTTGTGCGCTTTTGTAAAGTGTACAACGCATCTGTTTTCATTTAGTTTTCTGTTTCGGTATCTTAAGTGATGCAAAGCTGTTCTTTGCCTCTGCAATTTACTCAATTTTTAGCGAGATGTTAGTGTTTTAGTACGAACCTTCTTTTTTTAAGCTAACTCGCAAATAAAAGTTTTCACTTGTGTGCCTTTTTACTATAATCACGATCTGTAGCATTGGAAATTACATAGCATCTGTTCTCGGCTTAATTGGTGGCTAGTGTTTGTGATGGACTAAGTGTCCGTGGCTGAGTGGTTAGTGCGTGAGAGTGAGACTCATAATTCTAGGTCATAGGTTTCAGTCGAGACGCCGCCGAATTTTTACTAATTCGAGGCTTATTTTTACGTTTTCTTATTGATCTTTTTAAAACTCTGGGGCTGCTTTTTGCCGTGTTATCGCTAGTGTATGCGAAGCAAAGTGTTGATACAAACAATACAGTGAAAAACCTTTTAATTTTCTTCATGCTTCTCTGTCGAAAACAGATATTTTGAAGTTGAGAAATTTCATATTGTTCCGAACCCTCAATAAGAAAGAAAGAAAGAAAGAAAGAATAAATTTCTCCGTTCATTCACTACATAAATTTGGCAATTCATTGTTATAAGTAATTATTAAAATGAGACTCGGAGAGGATAGACAACGGGGCCATATGGCCCACAAACGCCTACCCTAGCTATGCATGCTTCTTTCACTATCAGGAAAAAAAATTTTTTTTTTAATAATGTTTTTAGAATTTGTTGAAAATTGGTAATTTCATCCATATCTCCTAAGCTACGAGCATTTGGACGGTCAAGTATTGTCGTTTTAATCCGAAGCCTATATTATACCTTCGTTAGCAGGCAACCGCCGGTAAAAAAGAAAAGAAAAACATAAATTTAAATTTAGATTTTTTTTTGAATTTTTTTTTTCAAAATCGTAAATTCATCCATATCTCCTAAGCTACGAGCATTTGGACGGTCAAGTATTGTCATTCTAATCAGAAGCCTATATTTTACCTACGTAAGCAGGCAACCGCCGGTAAAAAAGAAAAGAAAAACAAAAATTTAAAATTAGATTTTTTTTTGAATTTTTTTTAAAATCGTCCATATCTCCTAAGCTAGGAGTTTCTGTAAGGTCATCTTTTAGCGTTAGAACCTCAACCTTAAGATACACATCATTAGCATTGCAACTACGGGTTCAATAATTTTTCTACAATAATCTTTCACCATGAAAAGAAGGGAAGGAACTTTGGCGTAGGGTGTCTTTCATACCAAATTTGACTATAACAAACAAAGCTCGTAGCGTATCAAGTATGGCATTATATCACAGCCTTTCCAGCCGCGATTTGGATTCCACTAAAAAATGTCAAAAAAATAGTTTGTCGAAAAAACATGCTCTGAATTTTTTTGATTTCAGACTAAATTTAACAAAAATTGGTGACGCGGAAGCTCAGGTTTATAGAAAATTTGATTCTTCTGCAACTTAATGTTGATTTACATATAAATACCTCTCATTGCGCAATTTTGTTACCCAGTTTCATTGCCCGTTACTAAAAAATAGTATGAAATTTAAAAAAAAATCGCTCTTTTCTAAAGAATCAGTATGAAATTTTTTTTAAAAATCGCCCTTTGCTGAAAAATCAGTATGAAATTAAAAAAATATATATTTATTTCCACGAATTGATGCCTTTTGAAGAGGGCTACTTAATGAACTCAACTCAGCTGTTTGAAATATTATTTTTACTAGTTCATACCGACTTTTTTTAAACTTTTTTTAGAAATATGTTGTGATTAGTTGATATGTTTTATTTCAACTGCCTGTCAAATTTCTGATTTTTTTTGCAAGGGATTGCAAAGGTTATTTTAAAAAGTTTATTTCCCTTTTTGCCGTTATATTATACCGAGACCATACATAGAATGCATTTTTTCTATTGCCTTCAGATTTTGAATTATGTCTTATGAAGAGTGTAAAATATCCAAGTTGAAGTTCAAGACGGGCGCTGGCGTGGTGAAGAAGAAGAAAAAGAGTAAGAAACCTAAGAATGAACTAGTTCAAGTAAAGGACCCCGACTCAGACTCCGAGGAGTATGATGGCTGGTGGAACGTAAGTAAATTAATAGTTTTGCATTGACGCTCATGACTAAAAATTTTAGTGCCTGGTGTAATGAAAAAATCACCTCTTCTTAAGTTGAACTTTGACCAGGAAGTATCTTTACATTTCACTTGACATGTTTGAGAAGTCCCTATGTTGACTTGCTAAAATGCCAAGCTATTGCACCATTTAAACTTAACGTTTTAAAATATTCTTTACGAGTGGTCAAGTAGATCTTTTTTATTCATTCGAACCATTGATTGCATATTTTTGAAGATGATCATATGTTACCATCATACATCGGTTGGAGTGCGATTACAACGTTACAAGTTTTTCGTTTCTAAGCTTATTTAGTAAAATTTGAAAATAGCAGCTACAAGTTAGCTTGCTATCAGGGTTCTCCCTCGTAATGCAATTTTGACTTAGATATGACCATTTTTGTTGTTTTTCAAAAATTTCCAAAAAATCTAGATTTTAAATTTTCACACAATTTGAAACTCTCAACCCTATAAAGGTTTTTCAGGGTTTTCTCATGTTTTGCAAATATCACTTTTTAAGTTTCAAAGAAACTTAAATTTCGATTTTTTAAAAGTTTCATTTAATTTGAAATTCTCAACCCTATAATGGGATGCTGTCAGGATGCTTTCTTGAAGTGCAAATCTTACCCTCAATTTTCCCTGCTCAAACACTTTCAGTTTTGAAGATATGACGTTTTTCATGATTTTTCAAAATCTTGACCCTATGGTGGGAATGCCAAAAGACTGCCAAGAAGATGTGTCTTCTAATTGCGACTGCTCAAACCTTCATAGTTTCTGAGACTTAATTTTGTGATGATTTATCCAAAAACCTCAAAAAAAGCTTTGATTAAAAAAATAACTCCGAAAGTTTGAAACTATCGATCTTATGGTTGCATATGTCGCCTCCTTATGTGACTGCTTAACTCTTAACTTTCCTAGATTTGACTTTTTTCCAAGGTTTTCAATAGATTTTCAGAAATTTTTAAAATTTGAAAGTTCAACTTTTTTTGAGGTACTGTGTTGGTACTTTCAAGCGCTGCACATATGGCCTGTAATTCCGAATGCTCGAAATCTTTCAGGTTCCGAGATATGACTTTTTATTTTTTTAAAATAGTTTAGTAAACAGAAATTTTGACAAAATTCCGATGTTTCTTAATTAAGTACCTTGGTTTAAACAATTGATAGCAGCAAATGATATACGCAAAGGCTAATGAAATCAAATAACTGAGTTAAACAAGAATATTTTTTTTCAGAAACTAGTGGTTTGTAAAAGCTAATCGTTCTAGAAATTTTCTGAAAAACAAAGTTCAATTGACTCGGCAGTTTTTATATATCAGGTATTTGGTTTCCAAATTGGACGATATTATGAACTAATACTAAATTGAGTAAACAATGAATTCTTCGGCTTCTATCGTTTCACTGGAGCTTAGTTAAGGTTTAACTTGCGTGCTTCCGATTTTTGGGCGTGGGGCTTTGAATCTGTAGGCTGTAAAATTCTGTAATTTTCTGATTTTCACATAAATCTTTTCATGTTCTTTTTTCGTGTTTCTATTTTATGTTTGATTAACTTTGGAGTAACAAAAAAAGGAATTGAATAGGTTAAAAAATTTGCGGAAAATCCTTTCCGAATTTGCTATAAAACGATACTTTTACTTGTGCTGCTTTTGAAAAGAAATTTTTTCCGTTTTTGTTGCATTTTTGTCACAAAATGGAAACAATGAGGTGAAACAACCGCTTCATTAAAATTTTTGCCGTTTGCTTTCGTAAGTTTTGTTCGGCGTCTATGTGGACTTGAAACTTTAATGTAGACTTATAATTTTTTCTATCAATGTAGATATTTTTAGCAATAGATCATTATTTTCTGTAATTGTTTTTAAAGATTTGATGAGCAATGTTTTTTAAACAAAATTGTTTACTGGCACCGTTTTTGAATAAACCAGTTTTACTAATGGCGTCTGGGGAGGGCTCATGATGTTATCAGTTTTTCCGCAAGAAAAATGGATTCAGGAAAAATGTAACTAGTTTATTCTGTTCTTTTTAAATTGACAGCGTGTCATGCTGTGTTCAGTCGCTTGTTGTCTTTTACATGAACTCCTTTAGACTTTACGTCACATTTGTGAAAACAGGTGTCTTGCGTTCAGGAATTGGACTGATTCACCTAAGAAAACTTCAAAAATTTGTAAGAAAACGGACTTGCGTTATGGTTGAACCAGAACAACTTCCAGGTATTTTCCCATTTGGTCGAAATATAACGCGCTGGGTTTTCATTAGTATGTCCGGGTTCGAGTTCAGGTCAGACCTTTTTTGAGTTTTTTTTTAAATATTGAAATCTTGTAAAAATTGAATTGTGGGATCTTCGTTTGACTGGCTATTGATTGTCGGCATAATTTGCAAAGCCTGCAATTTTCTTCTGATTGAAATAAATTTTACTATAATTGGAAATCGTCCCGTTGTTTTTTTTTCTTCAGTTTACCAACTCGGATTTTGTTTTTGAAGTTTTTTTGTTTTATCAAAATATTTTGAGCCTATGAATCAATGGCTAAGTCGATTTATTTTTGCTGTCGTTTGAAGGGCAAAAATGTTTTTCATTTAATATTTGTTTAGAAAAGTTGTGGTTTAAAATTTCTGCGTCTACATAAGTTTTTTGGCTGAGTGGTCGCTCGATAAATGATACTTGAAGTTTATTTAACGCTGGTAATTGTTAAGATCCACTTTAGCGGAAAAATTGCTTTTTTTCTAGTGTGAATTGCTTTTTTTTCTTGTGTGAAGAATTGTTTTTTTCTAAAGTTTTGAAAATACTTATTTTTATAATTATTTTCCTTCTAATTTTTCTATTATTTTATTCGTGTGACGTCTTGGTGAGTGTACACCATCCCTTTTTTTATTCATATCCTATTTGGATTATGAATAAAAAAAGATTCTGTACGAAAAAAAACGGTGGTTTGGATTATATCCTTGCTCATCGCGGCAGTTAATCCTTAAGCTTATTCATGTCGGACTTGCTGTAAATTTATTTTTTGTCTTAGCTTTTCGTGAAAATTAAAGAGCGAATTTTAAGGTCGTATCGTTCAGTTGTAATAATCTTTGATTTGTTTTTTTTCTGGATTTTGGAAGCAATTGATTGGTTATGCTTTTTTGTTCAGATATTTTGTAACCGATAATTTTCGTTTGAGGATTATTATTCTGGTTATATTTATCAGTGTTCTATGAAATTGGAAAACAAAGAAAGCGTATTTGATTTTTTGTTTGTTTTTTTTTTCCAGAACTTTGGTACTTTGGTTCATAATGAGTTCAAATTTTTTAGTGTAAAAGAATACGTCTGGGACGGCAAAGGTCTTGGGCTCGAATACGCCTGGTGGTAACTTATACGACTGGGACAGCAAAGGTCCTGGGTTCGAATCTGCCCAGGACCAGTTTGTTTTAATGGTTAATGTTCTGCTTCAAAAAAATTTCGGCCTATTATTTGTCTGCTCATGTTTTGTCGGTTAGTTGCCACATCTACGAATCGTTTATTTTAGTTGTAAACAGTTTTTACTGCAATTATTTTTAGCATTTTAGAAATACGCCGAAGCGAAATTTGCTTTTCAATTTGTTATAATTTTACCAGCTCAATTTGTTAAAATTTCACTTGATTCGTCTTTTTTATCGGCTTAATAAATTTCGACTTAGTGGCCTCTTATTGCGTCTTTACGTCCGAAAAAATTTTTGTGGGCGGGTGTGTGCTCTGAGGGGAAAGGGACGTAACAGGTTTTAGAAGTTCAGAATTTTTTCGAATTTTCTGCTCAGGTTTTTTCGGTTTTGTTACCTCTTGGTTACTATAAATTCAAATCCAATCAGCCATACGGCTAATCTAGTGTAGAGGTAAAAACAGCTTCTTGAGACGGAAAAGATTTGCGTTTCGAATCCGACCGGGCGCTTTTTTGCAAACTGTTTATTTGTTGTCCACTAGCTCGATGCTTCAGCTTTATTCCAAGTTGCTGTAACCAACATGCTTGAGACTACAAAACCCGGGAGTTTGATTTCAGTTGAGACTTGTTTTTCTTGCAAATAAAAAATTTTGATTGATTTAAAATATTGTCTGTCTGCTAATTTTTGTCTGCTTATTCCGCAAAAAAAAGATTTTTTTTTTTGAAAACTTGGCTTCTGTACAGCATTCCTAAGGCTCACTATAGAGTTTCTTATGGGGTAAGCATTTTTGCTCCGGATATTTTGAGCTTTTGTTGCAATTTTTATTGGCAAAAACGATATTTTCTTTTTGATGTTCATAGTCATTCATATTTGTATCGCAAGTGGTGCGAAGCTCAGCTTCGCCTCTGTGTATAACTTGATGCCTATCTGTCATTTTGTATACTTTGTCTCAACTATTGGAACGGACGAACGTACATAACTAAACTTGGTCAAAGATTTTGACAGTTTCTTTATTGCTAAACTTAACTAACACAAGAGTTCAAATTTTAAGTAGGGTTTGTTTGAAATAGACTATCCCTCTCACACTCTCTTGAAATTCAGTGAAAATTCAATTGAAACAGTTAAAGGTCAAAACAATGAGGGAAATCGATCAAAACAGGAGCCGATTTAGAAGGGGAAGGCTGAGTGGTCCCTTTTTCTTCATGTAGTCTTTTACAACATCAATTTTCGGCAAACGACCTCAGCATTTTTCCAAAGATGCCAATATATACAAATTTTGATTGATAGCACGTGTCAAGGATTTGGATTTTCTTGGTCAAAAACTTGCTGAAAGTGATCGAAACCGGCCTTTGTGACAGTTTTCCTCCAAAAGTTTTGCCTGTTGGGCGAGTGGTGGATCTATAATTTTCTCGAAAACTCCGAAAATTTTGTCGACCTTTTTTTAGACAAAATGATTTTCTGAGCTTTCCCAAATCACTCAAAGACCCCATTTTGACTAGATTTTCTGCGCTGCAGGCAAATTTTTGAAAAACAGGCCAATTTTTGAAAAACAGGCCAAAAAGGCGCGCGTTCATCCCTCAAAATTAGCGCTTTTTGGCGCTTTAGATTGTTGGGTTCGTCAGCCAAAAATGGATATCTCAAAATAGTACAAATGGGGGACCCTTTGGGTAGGCAGGGGGTCGAATCCCTGAAGGGAGAGCTAAATCAATCCGCTGGTGTGTGGGGCAAAACATGTAGGCAGAATAGGGTAGTTATGGTTATAGTAGAAATCGAAAATCAAATTGATTGATGAAACGAAAATTCCAATAAAATTTGAAGTAAATAAACGCTCGGACTTTATTTGTTAATAACCGTTAATAATTAAACTGTCAAAACTGAAAGCAAACACAACAAAAAAGACTAGCTTGTCGTTTTAGATGAAAACAGGTGAAGTTTTCGTCACCAGTTCAATTGTCGCAATACAACAAGGTGATCTAAGACAGTTTTGGAGGGCTCTCGACAACGGCAAGATCGTGTTAGGGACTCCTCGTGCAATGGGGGAAGGACCAGCTCCTGAGGAACAATTCACAGTTATAAAGACAGCAGACACGAATAAATTTGGTCTGAAGACTGGATTCATGAAGTACATATCTGTGGCGAAAGATAACACGCTTCAGGGAATCGCAGACGCAATTGGACCACGCGAATGTTTCGAAGCTGTTTTTCAGGTGCGAATTAATTATTGTTCCTTGCTTTAAAAAGTTTTTGTTGAAATTTTTCATATTCGATTTTTTTTTGTAAAAATAGAGTGGTCGACTTTAATTTCTCAGGTCAAGTTTTGTCGCCTTAGGTTCCACATCAAGAAGTTTTGTTGCGCTGTAAGCAAGTATCATGGTAGTTGAATTGAAATTGTTTTTCAGTGTAGTTTCATAATAGTTTTTTTTAATATAAAAATCTTTTTTTTTGCCTCAATTGATGTCTGCTGAAAAATTGTCGATTTTGTTTCCGCTTCGTAAGTTTTGCTCCATTGCTAATTCAAAAATCAAATGACTTCCTTGGCTTTTTTGTCCAGAATTTTTTTTGAAAAAAACAGGTCTTATGAAAATGTATGGGATTGGGTTTTTTAGAAGCTTTGGAAAAAATTTCAAGAAAGGTTACCAGCGAAAATACTGTCTACTCCCCTGTGTGCCCGGATAATCCCCTAGTCTCTTTTTTACCCCACTGACTACAGCCGTCGCATAAGTCTGTGGAGGGAGTTTTTAACCCATATTTTTGGCAAAAACTACTCTTGCAAATTTGAGATTTTGGATTTCAATGGATAAAACGGGATGTGGAAGGCTACCCTGCATACGGGTAAGGCTTCCCTGGTTTTCAAAAAGTCATTTTTTGAATTTTGACAGTTTTTCAGAAATATTTTTGAATTTTAAAAACTACCCTAATCTAATATTTTTGATTAACAATAAACAGCCAAAATGGCCGATTTTGGGAGTAATAGTTTGATTCCGAATTTCGCAAAATAAATTACACCACACCCTAAATTTCTGATAAATTTTTAAGCAAATTTTATTCTCACTTTTAGTCGAATTTTGGCCCAATTTGAGAAAAAAACCACGTTTGAAGTTTCCGGTTTTAACCTGATATTTTAACTCAGCTTTGTAGCTTTGTTCATCATATTTACTCTTTACAACTGAATTATAGCTGCATGCTTTTGAGTAATTGCAGATTAGTCGTTTTGATCAAATTGAGTCCTATTTATAAATAGAACTTCCTTCCTATAACTTGTTTCCTCAACCAAATAAAATGATGTGAAAGACGTTTTGTGCGGCCTGGCAGTTACAAACAATTAAAAAGAGGAAATTTTTGTTCAAAATTGTAAAGAAATGGAAGGCGCTCTGATAGTGAATTGCCAAACGTATCTAATGAAAGAATAAAATAAACTAATTTGGTAATTATGTATTAAACGGCATAATTCTCAAATGGCATGAAAATGAAAATTTTATAAAAAGACATTCAATTCATACAACTGTTGATTTTTTTGTACGAGCTATGGCAGTATTTAATTAAGCAACTCATTTGCTGATTGTTCATTGACACGTTTAAACGAACAAAGTTTTCTGAAGTCTTAGTGAATCTACTTTCGGAAGTCTTAGTAATACTATCTTTTGAATCACCGTTTGCTTGGGAACGATTGCTTTGAAGCCTGTTTCAAAAATGTTCCATTCTGATCAGCAAATTTGATTTCGGAAAAATGTCTACCATTTGGTGTTTTTTCTTTGCAATTTGGGAAGCTAACATTTCGAAATTGACATTGCAAAATGGTTGAAATAAAAGCTGTTTGTGGAAGCCTTTTGTTCAATCAAATAAAAGACATTTAGTTAATTAGTCTTAACTTCTTTTTTTCAACTTGTCGAGTTTGATTGGCATGGAGTAATAGTTATTATTTTTTAAAACGAACTTTTACAAAAATATTAAGGACAAGGAAAACGCTCTACACATTTATTGAAAATCAGTATATTTCAACGCAATTGAAAATCAGCGTCTCTCTCCTTCACGAAGGTTCAAACATTTGCCGATTTTGGGTCTTTTTGGTTATACCCCCCTTATGGATAAGTTTTGCAATTCAAGTTTCGAGTTGAAATCGAAAGCGCGTTAATTTGCCATAAACTTTGTTTCCTAATTGAGCAGCTGCTAATTGCACGCGAGTGGTATTTAATTGTTTGTTTCAGGCACTTTCAATTTCAACTCGAAATTTGAATTGCCAAATTTTTTCATTTAGGGGATATATAACCGAAAAGACCCCCGATTTTTGCTGCAGTGCAGGCTTGATCATTTTAAGATAGACTCCCAAATGTAAATGTATCACAGGTCACAATATTTATGTTATGTATTAAATTATGATTTCAAAGAAAATGGGTATATTTCACAAAACCAATGTTGTTTTTTCTTCGAGTAAAGAATATTATTTCAATGGGGCATCGTTGTTATTACACTTGCGAGCAGCTAGTGTATTAGTATGAACCTTCTTTTTTTCTGACCTAGCTCGCAAATAAAAATCTTCATTGAAAGTGGAAAGTGTTCACTAATTTGGTGGCACTTATCCTATAATCACGATCTAGCATTGGAAATTTCATAGCTTCTGTTCTCTATTTTTTTTTGTGGCTAGTGTTTGTGATGTGGTATATTAAGCGTGCTTGGCTGAGTGGTTCATGCGTGAGACTGGTAATCTCTAGGTCGGAGTTATATAATCTTCATATTTCACTTTACGGAGCTGCTTTTTGTCGTGTTCTCGTCAGTGTTTGCGAAGCTTTGCCTCTGCGTAATAATTTAAATTGTTTCCAAGTAAGGTCACTGTACGGTAAATGAAGAAATGTTAGATGAAGCAACGTTTCAGAGCGAGAATATTAAATTGGTGTTTTTAGGTTCTATTTTATAAGTGAAATTTGAGGAGAGAGGCCAATTCGCTGAAAAACGAAAAAAAAAATTATTTGCCGGAGTGATGGAATTTCGAAATAATAGTTTCCAAAACTACATCGACCCGAAACATATTTTCTGTGTTTGTGTTGAGGTTTTTGAATTTGATAGTGTTTCATGTTTGTTTTTTGCATGCGGAATATTACTTCTCTTCAACGCAAAAAAAAAACGATGAGTTATCAGTTTTGGCCGTGCGTTGAGAAAATCATCTGCAAAAACTGAAATTTTACAAAAAATTTGTCAGCTCTAAGCAGTGTTGACGTGTTACAACAGGAAGGAAAGACTGCTTTGACTTGTGGAAACAGTTGCTTTGCCAGCATAGAAACAAACAGCTTTGCCTCTGAGTCATCCTCCTCGTCCTCCTCTTTAAAGCAGCCAGTTAATGCATCTGCTTTCAAAGTGTCGGAGAGAGAACACGTGTCTCTACGGACGAACCTGGACAGAAATCGGAAGCCGGATCCCTCGGAACAGGACGTGGACTTCGGTAGACTGGATGTGGCAGAGCTCAGTTACGTGAAGAAGTTTCAAAGCTTTCAGGTAACTTGTTTTCTCTTGTTAGTTGTAAATCACAATTTCAGCTCACAAGTTTCTCGATAAAATGCAAAATCTTCTCTTTCAATGCTGCATTTTTGTTTTTTCGATGCTTGTGTCAATGAGTGAAGTAGAAAAATTTTAGGTGTTGTGTTTTTTTTAAAAGATAGGTTTCTCGAATTCCAGTGGAATAATAAATCACATAACGGCCCAGTTGTCTCACATAGGGTTTCTTGTATCAAAAAACTGTAAATAATGAAAGGTTTTTCAAAATCAAAGAGCTGGAGGGATGAGCAGTCAAAATAAACTCAAAATAATAGTTGTATTAATAAATTGAAGCATGGTCAACAGACTGTTGAAAAAGTGCCATCGAACAGGGAAACTTCAAATTTTTTGAAAAGTTTGCAACTGGAATTGAATTGAAAGAAAAAAAATATTTTGGAATTGAAAGAAAAAATTGTATCGCCTGAAATCTATTTTTTTCATAAAGTTGAAAATTTTTCATAAACATCGTTTCTAAAGTTCGCTTGTTCATTGACCTTTTTCGAATTATATGTTGACCATGTTTCAATTTTCTAAAAGCAACTATTGATGTGAAATTATTTTAACTGCCCCTCGACGAGTACGACGGAGATTTTTTTAGGTGGAGTGTTTGCGTATAAGTACACCTTTTTAGTGGCGTATATAATATTTATACAAGCAGTGTAGTGTCTTCTTGCGGTATCCCATTGTTTCCAACCTAACTCCCAAACAAAATTGCTCATTTGTGGAACTCTAGCATTATTGTATCTGGTTCACTTTTGCTTAAGATTTACTTTTGGATGATATTTTTGTATCTGTTTTATACAGGGGCGGATCCAGGATTTTCTCGAGGGGGGGGCGGATTTTCAAAAAATTTTGACGACCTTTTTTTTTTTTTTTTAGGTCGACCAAATTGATTCCTAAAGCACTGTTTTGCCCTTATTTTGGCAAAATTTTCTGCGCCGCAGGCAAATTTTTGAAAAAACTGTCAAAAAAGCCGTTTTTGGGCACTTTTTGAAAAATTTTGACAAAAAAAATGCGTTTTTTTGGCGCGCGCTCCCCCTCAAAAATAGCATTTATTGGCGCCAAAGGCGCCTTTAGAAAAATTTTAGGGTCGGTCAGCCAAAAATGGATTTCTGAAAAAGTATCAAAGGGGGGACCCTTTGGGTCGGCAGGGGGTCAAATCCCTGAGGGGGGGGGGGGCGTCCGCCCCCCCCCCCTAAATCCGCCCCTGGTTTTATATATAGCTAGCTTGCATTTGATAAAAAACAAGTATCATGAAAACCAATGCGATATAATTTTTTTTGAGACGCTTTGGAAAATTTTTGCCTTTTTCTCGAGAACACGTAATCAATATAAAAAAGAAATGCCATCGGAAAGACCGGCTACTCGCCTGTGTGCTTATATATTCTAGTCTTTTTTTTAACCGACGATCTACGGCCTTCGAAAATATCAGTGGGGGAGTTTTTGACCTATTTTTTTTTTGCTTAATTTCAGTTTCTCGAAAACTACTATTCTGCCAAATATATGATAAATAGTTTTATCCAAAGTAATCCTTTTTTTTTATCTCCCGTGTAGAAGCTGCTACGCCCTAACTTTTGTAGCTGAAATGTTGTGATCCCAAAAAATGTCAGAATTTTGACTTTTTGACCATTAATGGAAACTGTTTCTTTTTATTGAAAACTGCTTAGCCAAATGTTAGATAAAGCGTTTACTAATAAAAAAAAACTAATGCTGAGGATCCTCACTGCTGGAGCGTCTATACCCTTATTTTTGTAGAAGAAGAGTTATGGCTTTAAAAAATTAGTTTTTTTCTAAACTGTTTCCTTTTCCGAACTGTTTCCGTGTTTTTGAAACTATTTCCTTCTTTCAAAAACTGCCCGGCCAAATCTGAGATTAAGGGCTTAATTGCAAAAATGGTGTTAAGAATCCTCGCCGCTGAAATAAATGCGCCCTAAAATTTGTCATATAAGTTGTCCTTGAAGTCTAATTTTTTGAAATTTTGACCGTTTTTTGGGAAACTTTTATCATAAAATACCCTGCCAATTGTGAGTTTGAGGGTTAAATAAAAAAACATGGTTTTTGAATATTCTCTGCCCATGTGCTGCTGCCCTACTTTTTGATCAGCAAAGGTTTTTTATTTTTCCCGTTGTTTTATTTTTTTGCATTGAAATTTTGTCCGTTTCTTATTTTTGACTTTACTGGAAAAACTACACTGCCAAATCTAAGATTCAGGTTTCAATCAGAAAAATATGCGCTAGGAAATATTTCTGAATAGCAGCTAATATATGTAGAAAAGCAATGTTGGGCTTAGCAAAGATCATTTTCTGCAAATTGAGAATAAAGGTTCATTTAAAAAAAAACAAGCTGTTGGGGTGTTCCTTTCGTAAGAGCAAATTTTCGTTTTTTTTTCGTACGGAGTTCGCTCTAGATTTAAAATTATTTGACTTGTAAACCCATTCTTGGACTTAATTCAATTTCCCAAAAACGATCGTGCAAGTTCTGAAATAAAGAAATGAATCAAACAGAGATGTTCTAATCTCCTCTGCAAAAGCGTGTTCTCCGTACTTTTGATAGGATCGGCTATGGATTTGGTAAATGTCCATTTTTTCTTTTTGGAAAATAAGCATTATCTTTTGCGCCATCAGTAGTTTTTTAAAAATATATATATCAAACAGGTACCTGTAGCTTTAGCTGGGCCCCTAGTTTTTAATTTTTGTTAAGCGGCCATGGCGCAGATACTAGGGTGTGTAACTTTAATCTGGAGACCGGGATTCGATTACGGCGCATTTTAGATTTTTTGTTAGTTTTACTCTTTCTTTTTGCACTTTTTGGCCTTTTCAGAGCTACTTTTTGCTCATTTTCTAGCTTGTGTTTGCGAAGTGCAACAATTTCAATTGTGTAGTATTTTGAATCTTTTCAGGATCGAAGGATAAAGATCAACCCGGGAGACAGCTCGAACCTTGAGAAGGCACGCGAAGACGGAAAGCTACACGAGGCGCTGCTAGACCGGAGATCTAAAATGAAACACGACAAATTCTGCTGAACCACACTGAACATTTGAGAGGTTTTGGTTGAACTGCAGAGAAGGACCGAGAGTCAAGTGTCTAAAAGCTGAGAGCAGCAAATCTGTTTTGCCACAATCAGAAAATTATGCTGCCCTTACATGGTTGAGGATAATAAAACCATGACTTTAATTAGATTCTGGCTGAAAAAAAAAAACGTTTCACTCATCGTTTAAGCTTCTACACATTTGCTCAACTTTTTTTTCTTCAAATTGTTAATTGTACAGTAGTAGTGAGCTTTAATTGTCAAAATGGCTTATATAATATTCGCAAATATGACTATAAAAAGTATTTCTGTTGTTTTTACTCGAGGTACACGGCGTAAATGGTGCAATAAGCGAAGATGTTCTTGTGCATGTAATGCACAGTGAACGAAGTGTCCGTCTCGGCGTCCCATATGGTCCTCCCGGAGCATCGCACCGCCTGGCGCTTGTTCTGTCCGACGACAGTGAACACAACGAAACGAGTGCGCTCGCAGTTGAAACCCTTCGCCTTTTGTTTCACTTCGTCCGAGATGTCACACGAGGCCTTCTCGCAGATGTCAGCCTTGTACTCTTCCAATGGGCCCAGCTTCGATTTCATAATCTCAGTGATGGCTTCTTCCATCTATAAAATTACGCTCGAAATTAAGCTTTTTTACAGGATGAGGTTGCCCCTCATTAATTGGACTCACAAATAACATGTTTGAAATATAAATGGTTTGAAATATAAATGGTTGATAACATCTCGTGGATCTGGAGTTTTTTTGTTATTTTTTTTCGGTTAAAAAGCAATACCTGAAAAAACTAAAACCGTACTAGCCAGGAAACGTACAGACAGAGAATGAATTTTAAAGATTAGTCAATTTTTTGCACTTTTTACCAATTGCTTTATCGGTTGAAATTTTTGACATTCACGAACAAAATGGCCGAAAACAATCCATAAGTTTACTTTGAAAATTTTAAAAATAATACTGAGGTTTCTAGTAATGACTCAAAAAACCATGATATCGGTTCTTACTGCCCTATTATTTAAAGTAGAACCCCGTTTTAATTGACAAAATGAGGAAATAATTGATTTGAAAATCAATGTTTTGATCTCGGAAAGCATATCAATCTTCAGGAAAGATACTCAAGCAAAGGTTGTTCCGTGATATCAATTTTGATATCAAATCCTACGTCCAAAATTTGTTAGCAGATCTGTACAACCTTTTTTACTATTATTTTGGTGCATTTGCATTATCTGCAGGGGCTATCTAGGCATGTCATCCTCTTCCGAATCACAACAGTTCTGGTAAAAACGTTCCAATTTTGGCGGACAAGAAAGAGATTTTTGGGCGGATACGCATGTTATCTGGACAAAAGGGAGTACAGGGTAAGAGTTTGTTTGTCAAAAAGCGTTTGGCATATGCAGATAAGGAAATGAAAAAGAAAATGGGAAATTTTAGAATTTTTTATGAGCATTTATGAGAAGTATCTTTCATCTGTAAATGAACTTCAAACTACTTTTCATGGTTACGATGATCTAAAAGCTAGAATCCAAGCAAAACTTTGGATATTGTTTCAAACTTATGAACAGCTGTGTGCACGTTTTATATCAACGCAAGTTATTTGTCTTCCAGTAAATGTATTGTTCATGTATTTGCAAGTTTTTAAATTAAATAGAAACAGCATTTATCTAGTCAAGATCATTGTTTTTGGTTTATGTCTACTTATAAGTAAGAACAGCTATATTGCGAAGGTAAGGTTCAAAAAATGTTTTTGATTTGTTTAAGAGAATAATTTGCCTGCATTTCATTAATGTAAATCCTGATAAAAATTGTTATTAGTTGAATCTCTCATTGCAACGCTTCCTGAAAATTAATACCAAAAATCAGTCAAGGTTACCGATACCACAAAAAACACTCTAAAAATTTACGATAAATTTTTCAAAAAATGATTACAGAATCCTACTGAAGCGAATCAAATCAGATTATGGCTAGAAATTTTGCAACAAATGTAATCATAAATGGAAAAAGCAGATACTTCAACAAAAAATGGTGATTTTCAAAGCGCCTAGATACTGTTCCGGGCTTTTAATGATTTCAATGATTCTCAACAGTTTTTTTTACAATTTTACAAACTGTATTCAACTTCAGTCGACTTCGTTAAAAAACAAATAGGATAAGTTTTGACCGATTTTTTCTCCTGGTTCTACTACTCGATGAGCATACTTATGTTTAGGATTTACGTCCAGGCATATAATTGCCTTTGCGATAGCAAGTATATTGCAACCGGGTACTCGATTTTTTCCCCGTTAATAAATTTGTTCACAGAACTGATCTTCTCAACTTGTCTCCTAGTCCTCCCCTCTGTTGGAAAGGCTGCAATAGATTTGTTTTTGAGCCTGATACCATTTAAAATATTCGTTCTATTCGAAATAAGTTTTTTCGTTGAGCGTAATTATACCAGCTCGATTTGTTAAAATTTCTTGCTTTTTTCGGCTTGGTAGGTTTCGGCGTATATTATGGAGGCTTAGTGGCCTTATATTGCGTCGTTTGGTGGCCATAAAATATTCGGACTGTGTGTTTTGAGGGGGAATGGGATTTGAAAACTTTTTTCCTAATTCTTTCGGCTTTAAGGGTTTCTGCTCAGGATTTTTGACTTTTTTTACCGGTTGATAAGTTTTCTTCCTATTTCACATTCTTTTGTCTAGGCATAATTTTTCTCAAGACTAGGCTTATTTGTTTTGATAGAAATAGTTTTTTGTCAGTGTTTTGGATTTTTTTTTCTAGTTCACGATTTTTTTTTTCCATTGTATAGCAACCAATGCGAAGCTCCGCTTCGCCTTTGTGTTTAGCTTTACTTTATGTTTTCAGCTTGTAAAGTATTTCAAATGCTTCAAATGAAAACAATCTTTGAGTTATGAAACTACAGATAAAGAGCTAAAACTAACCACTTACCGTACAAACACGTAACCAATATCCGATTGATTAGCTTTGTGCTTGACTTGGATACTGATATTCCGGTATCAACAATTTTTTCTTGATTAAATAGCATCAATGAATCCAAGTAAACTAGTTTCTTCTTTTAGTTGCATGCTTTCCATTTAGTTAAAACAAATATGTATAATTAGCTTGTTACATTGCGAGTCTAAAATATGGAACCTTAGTCTTGTAGATGCTGAAGGGACTGGGGAACTCGTTGGTCTCCCTCTTCAGTCGGAAGGTGTTCTGGAACTCCTTCTTCGGCTTCTCGTACTTCTCAGGAGGTGGAGGCTGAACCTGAAGAAAAGAAAAAAATACATTACAAGTCCAAATAGTTGCAACTTGCAGCGTCTTGAGTAGGTGTCTCGAAGTTTTCATTTTCTATATCAAAGTTTTATAGCTTGGCTAGCTTGCGTCGAAAAGTTTAAAGCTTTTCACAAACTGATTCGGTTTATGAAATAACTTGAAATAAATCAAAATTTCAAAGCTCGATTAGAAAAACTTGAAATTTCAGTCTATGAACCCATTCAGTCTATGAATTAATTTGAAGTAATTCGAAGTACCATAGCTTCAAAAGCTTGCTTAGAGAATTTTCAGCTTTTCGCAAACTGATTCGGGATACAAACCAACTTGAATTATTTTGAATTTTTTACCTAAAAAAGCTTGCTAAGAGAAATTTAATTTTTTTTGCGAACCGTTCGGTTAACCAATTTTTTTGGAAAATTCATAGTTACATAGTTTGAATAGCCTGCTTACAAGACTGTTAGCTTGTTATCTTTTTTGCTTGCTCTTTTTTTCTATTTCAACTTCTTGAAATAACTTCAAATTTTTTGAAGTTTCATAACTTAACTAGCTTGCTTAGAAATACTTCAATTTGTTGCCAACAGATTGGCTTTGCAAAGCTCTGAATAGCATATAAAACTATTTTTTTGCGATTCGATCCAATAAACGATACGAAATATTTCAAAGTTTTCTGACTTTAATTGCTGGCTTAGAAAAAAAAACTTGTGAACATTTCGCGAACTAATTCGGTCCATAAAATATCTTGTAATAATTCAAACTTTCATAACTTGAGTAGCTTGCTCAAGAAAAACATAGGCTTTTCGTGAACCGATTCGGTTTAAGAGATAAGTTGACGCGTATCAAAGCTTAGGCCAAATAGCTAGCATACCAAAACTTGTTTTTTTTTTGCTAACCACTTTGATCTGTCAAACATCTTGAAATAGTTTTAAAATTCCATCCCGTGATGTGCTCTAGTAGAAAAACTTGAAGTAGTTCCTATTCGGTTAGGTTTATGAACTAATATCAAAAAACCAAAGTTTTATTGGTTTTGAGTGGCTTCATAATTATTTCATTTTTTCGCTATCCGATTCGCTGTAGTTGGTTTCAAAGGTGTGTAGCTTGAATAGCTTTCTTAAGAAAAACATTAGCTTTTCGTGAACCAATTCGTTCTAAAATGTTTTAAAGCATAATATTAATAGCCAGCATTCATTCTATGAAAAATCTTGAGATAGTTCCAAGTTTTAAGCTCTAGTAGTTTGATTAGAAAAAACTTGAATCTTTTGCGAACCAGTTCGCTGTGTGAAGTATCATGAAATATTTCAAAGTTTCATCGCTTGAATAGCTTACTAAGAAAATTTTATACTTTTTGCCTACTGATTCGCTCTATCGAACAACGTGAATTTTTTCAAAGTTTCCGTGCTTTAAAAGCTTGCCTAGAAAAATTTCAATTTTTTTGCGAATTGATTCGCTCAATAAAACGACTTAAAATAATTCATTGTTTCGTCGCTTGAAATGCTTTCACAGAAAAACCTAAAGTTTCGCCTTCCGATTTGCTTCATGAAACATTTTGAATTATTCCGAAGATCAGCTTGAATAGCTTGCTTAGGAAATCTTCAATTTTTCAAGAACCGATTCGTTCTACGAAACCCAAAGTTTTTCAAACCTATTAACGATATGGCTCATATTGAAGTTGTTCTAAGTTTCATTGCTTGGATAGCTTGGTCAAAACACTTTTTTGCGAGCCAATTGATTATTGGAGGCGGGCTGGCTAGTATGGAATCATTTGTGCCTTCAATGCACAGTGGCACTGGACTGGTATTTGAGGTGCAGAACACAGCTGACTGGTAATCTATCTGGAGCTCTCTGGCTTGAATCCCAGAGTTTTTTTGTTTTTAAGGCTGAATTTTTTTTTTAATTTTTAAGCGTTTTCTTTATTTTTAAGCATTAAAAGCTAGCACCATTTAAGCGTTTTCTTAATTTTATTTGCGAGGTGCAACCTCGTTTCTCTGTGAAGCAAGATCGCTTTCTAGCGGCAATTATTTGAATGAGCAAGATATTGGCGATACTGACTTAAACTATAGCGAAAAACCGTTTTCGGATAACTCCAGGAAGTATATGGTTTGTAATTTTGTCTGTAGTTGGTAAGTGAATTCAACTTAAGAGTAGGTAGCAACTTAAATGAAGTGACAATTGGGAGTCAGCTTGAATTGAGATCTTTATAAGCCAATTTCATGAAATTTCAACAATCTAGATAGAAAAAAAACACATTCTAAAGTTCGATATTATACTGTTAATAGTATTCGCAGCGGAACAAGTGCTCGTCAGTTACCACTTCCTTTATTTTCGGCTTAGCATTGTAAGATGTTATCCTGTTTTCAGCTGTATGCACTGTTCCTAGATGAGGAGCAGAGAAAGTACACGTGTTTACTTCTTTTTCTTCAACTATTCAAAACCGATTTTTACTGTTCATCTTGCGGGGTTTCTAAAGTTTCGGTAAATATACTTTGTAGCGTATGTATACGTTTTAACAAAGTCAATAAGGTGCAATTTGTTTTGCAAAATTCGGGCCCAAAAATTTACCCCAAAACGATCTTTTTTGTCTTTGTTTAGTCAATCTAAAGTTATTCCAAACCTATTTGTTAATTTAATGACAAAACTATAGATAAACATGTTTATTTTCATTTGATAGCCAAAAATATTAAAAACCTTTTTGTGCCGACTTCAGGAGATTACTTCTTCCTAAATTTTGTTAGGCTAAATAAGAGGCTGGCAGTAATATAGTTTTGTCAGTAAATGAACAAATGGGTTTGGAGAAGTTTTGATTGACTAAACAAATCCAAAAATGATCTCTTTTGGGGTAAAATTTTTGGGCTCGAATTTTGCAAAACAAATTGCAGCATATATATTCTGATGAAATTTTAAACAAGAATTGGCCTTCATCATTTTTTGTCTAAAATCAACCCAGTTTGAGAAAAAAAGAGTTTTAATTTCAAGTTTTATTCATTTTGTCCGGTTAATTTAAATCTGCACTGTATCCCTTTGTAGCATGTTTTTGTAAAATATGAGCAGTTGAATTGGTGTGACTTAAATATATCATTAATTTTCAACTGTTTTGGATGGAATTGTATGCTTGTGCGTTCTCATTGTTCCTCAGTTCAGTTACAAAACAATATATTGGGCGGTGCCACTGGGCTTTTTGTTCTTAAAGCTAAGGTAATGCGTCGAACAAAGCAGCTTATTTTCTTAATTACAAAGCAGCTTATTTTCTTTTGACTCCTTTTTTATTCCACTCTTCACACTTTTTTTAGGAGATAAAGGAAAAGGGAAATTATATTTGAGGAGAGAAGAGACAGAACAGAAAGGGTTCAGTAAGTAGAGGTCTCGCAGTCTTTTTTTTTGAACTAGATTTTGATGTAATTTTGAAAACGGAGATTCTTAATTATTAAATTTATTTACCATGAGAGTGTCTGTCGTTGTATTCGATTCTAAGAATGACTCCGATTGTTTCAATTACTCATAACTTTACGCTTTGAAAGACTACTTGCTGATTGCATATGAAACATATTTATTAACTCAAATAAATTATATATCTAAATGCAGGCTTTACTAGTTTCCCTTGCCTAAGTTTTTTTTTTAATTATATTTTTTCTTATTTAAGCTGTATTGTATTTTGCAATAGTTACGAATTTTTCACTTTTGAAGCTTGAATTGAGTGTTTATTTCTTCAAACTTGAAATAAGCAACACAATAGTGGGGTGTTATCAGGTTTCCACCAATGGTTGCGAATTGGGTCTCCAATTATGAATACCCAAATGTCTTTTTAAAATTGTTCAAAGAACTTCGTGGAACCTGATCTAAACTATATTTTATGATTGGATAAATTAAATGTTTTACCAATGTAAAGTATTTAATATTAACCAATCATGATCCATCTAACTAACAACCCACTTATTTGTAAGTGCTGAAGTTACTTGTAATTTCAGCACCAGAGAGATTTGAATTTAACTTAGAAATTAGTTGGACTCTCCCGAGCACTTCAGCAGCCGCAATAAACCAGTATACCCTAGATCTATTGAGCCTAGCAGAGACTAGTTAAACAACCTGAGACTAGATAGTATAAGAGTAAGATTAGGATCGGTATTAGACTAAGAAGTTGCACGAATCTATCCGGCCGAAAATAAGATAGCGTGACGAGCAGACGGTGTACCCTATCCGAAATTACTCTATGAGTTATACACTCCAGTCTTAACTCATCTGGTGCGACCATAAGTCTCGAACAAGACCTTACTAGATTAGAATTAACCAAAATAGATTAGAAATTAGACAAAAACATTTACAAAATGTTATACGACAATAATTTAATTGAAATGTCTCTCCGACTCAATAGATCAGAGCCAATATTCCGAACCATAATAGAACTACCCGGAATTGGAAGAAGACCTCGAACCAAAGACGACATACGACAAAGTAGAAACTTGCCGTATAGTTATATGATAGTTCGGCAAAAGCCAGAACAAACTTTTATATTTCGAATATTACTTGCAATGAATTTAGATTTCCATTTGCAAACATAAAACTTTGAAGTTACTCTTCAAAATCATTTCAGGCGCTAAACAAAATTAATATTATACAATAACGATTGATAAAAAGATCTAAGATCGTTTTCCTAAAACTCTGCAGTAATATACAAAACATGTTTGAAAAATATTTATTGGAAAATAAAAATAAAAATTAGTAGCATGACAATAAATGGTTAGTAATCATAAATCATCCTGTTGTTCCAGCTTCATCACCTAAAACATAACAGCAATCATCAACTCACTAATATCATCAAAACACTAAATTTTTCCTTTACACAAATTTAAAACTTTATCAAAATTTAAAGTCACTTAATTTTAAAACCAGATCATCAAGGCTTATCCTTGGATCTTAAATCATTTTCTACTTAATTAAATTTTAAACTTGATCATCAAGGCTTATCCTTGGATCAAACAGAACAACTTTGTTCTCCCCCA